TGTTCCTTTTTTGCATCTTGTTCTGCATTTTAGTTTCACTAAAATTTGTATCCACAGAACTTGTGTTTCTCCTGAAAAAGAAGCTCAGACATGTCCAAAAGACTTACTTTACATGTATGGGATTCCAGCCTCAGTTTCACTTTCAGAATAAAGTTTTTTGAGGGGAATTTGCAAGTGGAAAGAATGGTTAAATTCTCTATCCATTGGACTAAACACTCTATGGTTAGAAAGCATGTACTGGAGGAAATGTTTTGCCAATTTTGCTGGCTTTTGTTGTTGTCAGTTGCAAAGTCATGTCTGACCCATCGCGACCCCATGGACAATGTTCCTCCAGGCCTTCCTGTCCTCTACCATCTTCTGGAGTCCATTTAAGCTCACGCCTACTGCTTCAGTGACTTCATCCAGCCATCTCATTCTCTGTCGTCCCCTTCTTCTATTGCCCTCAATCTTTCCCAGCATTAGGCCCTTCTCCAGTGAGTCCTTCCTTCTCATTAGGTGGCCAAAGTACTTGAGTTTCAACTTCAGGATCTGGCCTTCTAAAGAGCAGTCATGCTAACTCTATTCATCGTCAGCCTTTCTACTTTGGGGGATTTTTGCAAGCACTCTGGTTTGGTCTTCCCAGATTAAAGGTTCACCTAGGAAACCTTGCAACTGCACCTTCAATGAACATTTTTCTGTGATTCTGGTTACTTCTGCATAGAATATTGATCAGAGGAAATGTATGAAAACAACAACTGCTTATAGAGGAAGCTGAAAATACACATATAGGTGCATTCTAGATCTGGGGCACTTTTAACAAAATATATAGGAAACTTTGGAAAAGTATTCTGGCCTAGCCTAAATGGCATTTCTACATGGGTTAAGGGAAAGAATCTCAGACTTCCAGTGGAAGAAATGACAGACTGCAGACAAAAAGAAATTCAATGACTGCAATAAAGAATAAAGAGCCAGTGAGTAGACTGGTTCTTCAGAATCTCTCTGGACAAGGAGAAGATGGGAGATTGCTCACATGCACTCAGAACAGTCACTCCTGATGAGGAGACCACAAGGCAGCAGTTTCTGCTGGGTTTTAAGCACTGAGGCATGAATAACCATCTTATTTGCAACCATGGTTGACGCCTTTTAAAGGTCATTAAGTTTGCAAACTTCTTTTTCTAATCATGTTTGGTAATTGCTGGCTTTCTGACCTTGCTCAGAAACATCTTGGCAAAAATTAACAATATTTGCTACATTTTTTTAATCTTCAAGGAATTTACAATAATCTCAGTGGTGCCCTTCTGAATATTATCCTTCTAAATCTAAGAGGAGTTATGATGATGGATAGTAATTGGTCCCAGCAATCCAGTGAACTAGGTGGGTGGCAGGATTTTCATACAGGTCTTCTAGTTTCTTACCTGGTGCTGAAACAACTTTGTGCCACTGGCACTAATAGTTTACATCATGTATCTGAGTAAAAACATCCAATATAGTGAAAATGCCCCATGTGTCCAAGTCTTAAGTCAGCTTTGCACAATTTCTGTACAGCAATAGCAATAGTACTTAGACTTATTTACTGCTCCATAGTGTTTTACAACACTCTCTGAGTAATTCATTAAATGTCAGTATATTGCCCCCAGCAATCTGGGTTCTCATTTTAGTGACCTCGGAAGGAAGGCTGAGTCAATCTTGAACTCCTGTCATGATCAAACTCCTGGTTGTGGGCAGAGTTAGCGTGCAATACTGCATTCGAATCAGTGTGCCACACGGCTCCTGTATCTTTTATCTTGCTGTATCTTTTCTAGACTCCATTGCTCATCTTAGCTGTGGCTGAAATATTACATCTTTGCATTACCAGATGAGTGCCCTAATATGGTTAGTATTGTACTATCAGGAAGTGACATAGTAAGTTGAGGTAATCATTAGGCAGTGAATTATCTCTGAATTCCAATGAAAAATATGAGAATATGAATGTTTCCTGCTGTAGAACAGAGACTGTGCAATCTGTGAGTGCATTTTGAAAAAAAATTGTTCAGAAACTATGCTGTATATGTATTCAATGGAAAACACAAACTTGGAGGTTTTTTTTAAATATTTCATGTATCAATATCCTCTCCCAGTGACAAATTTTCATTCAAAAAAGCCATCCTTCTTCTATGTCGATATCACCATATCTGTCAGGCTTCACATCAGTGTTCAGCAAATAATTACACATCAGCCTTCCTCTTTTTTCCTTTTAAAAATGTAGCCAAGAAAAAAAGGGCATGTTGAATGAGATTCTTGTTCCTCTCCCATCTTTTTTCTACCCAAATTTCACCTTGGGTCTAGGTGGTGGCTTCCCTTTTTCTGACCATATTTAGCAATAATCTGCATGTGAAATACAAAGTAGAGAAAGAGTTTCCAGGACCAATGGATTAAACTTCCTTTTTCTATCCTAACAGAAATAAGACAAAAATAAAATTATGATGTGCTATTAAATTACTGAGTGTACTTGCAAAAAATATTTGTTCTAATGTAGCATAGACCAATCAAATAAACCAATGTGAGTGTGGTTTAAAATGTCCTAATAATTAAAATAACTACTGTGAGTTAAATCTGCAGAACTCCTATTGGAAATGAACCATCTCATTTTCTTTAATGGAAGAACTAATCCTGACCCCTGCTAAACATTAATTTCTCTAAACTAACTAAAGTCCATTCTGAATATCAGTATTTAGCTAAAGCAAAGCACAGCCTTCACAGAGAGACCTGACATTTACATTTGTGTGATAAGTTTCTGTGATACCTTTATTCTACATTAAAGTGAATGCCTCATAAATGGTACAATTTATACATCAAATAAATACGTTTATTTGCAGTTACAATCGCTGTTTATCATTAACAGACAAATATTTACTAAGCATTCATGATTTAACTGTAGTATTCACCATCACCCTGCTGGCTTGCTACTTCTGCTTCTTTAGTAAACCATTTTGTGGCTTTTATCTCTGACATCAGCCACCCCATTTCCTGAGAACTAAACAGAAACTGTGCACAGCCTAGAGTAAGATTTATGGACAGCTTCTGATAAAGCCTACATTTCTTTCAAAATCTTCTACTATCTTAATCTCCCTTCAAGTGAGGAGGAAGATATATGTAGATAAGGATATTACAACAGGTATCCTTGTATAAATTTTAGGTTTTGAGCTCTCATTGTAATTGTTTATGCATACCGTCTCAACAAAATAGTTACCAAATTTGGACCACTTTCAGGATATACATGAAAATGACTCTAAGGAATTATTCATTCAGTTCTCCATGCTGTGAGTTTTCTGGGACTCAAGCACTTTACACAGAGGATTGGTTTTCTTTGAAAGAAATCATGGTAGATTAAAGCCATTTACTGGAGCAAAGATGGGTAGATACCAGTTCAAAGCAACTCATCCAACCCTCACCATTTTGTAGACTGTTTCCACTAAAGCCAAAGCCTGCTTGCTTTTATGCAAATCTCTGCATAATCACACCCGGCAGGAAGAGAAACTGATCCTCTACTCCAATCTTTCTTCCTCAACAAAAGTGCAGCTACAGGCAGTCATTCTCATAACCCAATACCAGCTGTATTGCTGTAATTTCCATTTGGTTATCTATTTGTTCTCTTTCCATTTTCCTACCATTCAAAAAGGCTGTATTGAGTTAAAAGGGTCCATAAGATTATTCTGCTCAATCTCACATTTTGACTGATTGACTGATTATGTGCCATCAAATTTTTGACTCTTAGTAACCACACAGATTTTCTTCATGACAATTTGCCCCAATTAGGTCTTTCAGACCTTCCAAGGGTGTACCCATTGCCATTGTAACAAATCCTATCCATTATGCAGCTGATCATCCTCTTCTCCATTCTTCCACCTTTCCCAGCATCGTAGACTTCTCTAGGGAGCTAGATGTTTGCATGATGTGTCCAAAGTAAGATAATTTCATCCTGATACTATGTGTCTTGAGTGAGAACTCTGGGTCAATTTGTTCAATGATCCATTTTTTTTCACTGTCCATAGCATTCATAGGGATTTTTTTCCAATACCAGAAATTCAAAAATGCCAATATGCTTTTTATCTTGCTTCTTCAAACTCCAACTTTAACTTCCACACAATGTCACAGGGAATACTTTTGCCTGCACTAGTCTGATTTTTAACCATTCATTTTACTACTATATTATGACAGCAATTAAAGTTTTTAATTCAAGTGGATTTGAAACAGTTTTATGGAAACAGATCTGTCATTCCCACAATATTAATTTTTAAAAATTAAGTGGATAGGGACATAGAATTGAGTAAAATAAATTGAGTGACATACTAGCATTTCAAAACCTTGGATTCAAATCCCTATTAGTCATGAACTTCATTCTCCAGAAGAAGACATCTATTCAGAGAAGATAGCTCCGCAGGCATCATGGTATGTTCTAAAAATGGTAATAATAGGAAAGAAGAATCAGTTCAGCTTGCCTTGCATTTAACCCAGAAAAGAAATCTGGAACTCCTTTTAAATTCTCAGGAATAGCAGCATCTGCATGGATTTGCATCACAGCTCCTGCTTTCAATAATGAAAAACACACAAACAGACTTTTCAATAACATCCATATGGTGTCATTTATCTGAGAAATAGCTGAAACAGAAGCATAACCAGAAAAACTCTCATTATAAAAGTTTCTAGTTAATGCAAATTCAGTTTCCAGGATTAACATCATCAGTCTACTTCAGGCCTTTTCCTGTTACTTTTTTCCCCCAAACTTATCTTCTGACTACCCAATTGAACTTCAACACTCATGGGTTTTGTTCTGGAGTAATCAAACAATTTTGTCCCCTGGAATATGAAAATTCCATGACAGTCTAGATCTGCCTGTTTTTCAATGAAGGTGAATGAAAGAATCTACATATAAGTGGGATTTTTTTAAAGCATATTTTTGCCCTTTTTTTTACCCTTTGGGATCTTATTTTTATTACTGCAGTGAGCTTTATGGTGGGAGTAAAAAAGCTGCTCTCTTTCAGATACATCTGACTTGAATGAAGCTGAGGACACTGAGCTAAAGATAATGAAGAAGCACCAGAAAGACTTTCTGGAAGACATTCAGGTAGGAATCATTCTAATTCCCCAACTAGATGGGGTAGACCAGGATCCTCAATCTTGACAACTTTAAGATTTGTGGACTTTAACTCCCAGAATTCCTCAGCCAGCTTTGCTGGCTGAGGAATTCTGGGAGTTGAAGTCCACAAGTCTTAAAGTTGCCAAGGTTGAGGACCCCTTGGGTAGATACAACTTGCACAATTCCATTCCATATGCCTATTGACTGTGGAGTGGAAATTGTAAGAGGTCTGCTCAAGAACATTTGGATTATCCCAGTTGGGGATGGCTGAGAGAAAGCAAATCAATAATGCAGCTAGCTAATTTTTGACCTGGGATTTAATAGGGTTATACATAGTAGAAAAGGTCTTATAAAGTCAAGTGTATTGCCCTGAGTAAGCACTATTTTCCTGTGAGATAGAACAATATATTTGGATAAAGGTTATGCTTCTGAAACAAGACTTCTGTCATTATTACTAGAAGTTTGATGCATGACCATCTCAACTTGGCCTCTGACTTATTGATCTAGAGAATCTCATCTTTCCACATATATTTTTCATCTGTATCATGGACATATATTCTAAGGATAAATAAATGTGTGTATTGCATCTAAATGAAATGACTGAAAAATATATCCATCTGTTTATTTGGCATGTAATCATTGTTTGTTTGTTTTTTCACTACCTATACAGAATATGTGGAAAACATTCAGTGTGGTCACTGTTTTTCTGGCTGTATTGATTCTCATTGGTTTTTCTTGCTTCCAGAAAATAAATCAAGAGATTGCTGAAATATTACTGGAGATTGATCATTTCCAGCAAGCACAATCATGGTGAGGTGCCCGCCACATACATACATATAGTAAATATATATATACAAATGCTCTTTGTATATAAAAAGGTTTTTTTCATGCAGCTAATGTTAGTTAAATAAGTGGAGAATTGAGTTTAACCAATGATCCACAGTGCTGACTGGGGAATCTGGGATTTGAAATCCATATAATTCAGGGGTGTCAAACTTGCAAAGTCATGTAACATGTCGCGACGTATCACAACTTTTTTTCCATTGCTGACAATGGGGTAGGGGTGTAGTTTGGCATGATGCATCCAGCCCGCAGGCCAGCAGTTTGACACCTCTGATATAATTTAAAAGTTGCCGAAGTTTGAAAAACATTGAATTAGCTACTTTAAAGCAACATACGTTAAGGGAAAAACAGCAGCAGTGAGACTTAAAAGCACTCAGAGTTATACAGCTTGCTTTGCATCCTAACTTCTGTTTGATTAATCTGTTAGCCTGAAATAAGAACTGCCATTCTGTCATTTAACTCTGCCTGCAATTTGTAACAGCAGTTCTTGGATTTTTATTTTTTACTTTTTTAAAAAAAAAGCTAGTTACAGGCAGCCTGTGTCAGGTATTCAGGACCTGGGAGAGCTCCACGGGAGATCAGAAACTGATCCAATAAAACAGCTGGATTTTATATGCACAAGGAACACAAGCAATCTAAGTGGGTTTTTTTTAAAGCCAGACTAATCAAAACTGCAAACTGTTTCTTCTTTAAATTCTAAATTTAAATTGCCATTTTGGTTTGCCTATTTGATTGGGACAGGTATATCTTTATAAGCAATTATAGGTCATCAATTTGACAAGTCAATCATACAGAGTTTCCCAGTTTTCTTGAAAACATCACTAAGCCAAAATTTAGAGTTAAAATTGCCAAAACATCTTAGGGAGATATTTATGCAAGCAGGATTCGAACAGCTTGATACAATGGTCAAATATAGGAGGTTCCATTCTATACCATTTGATAGACGTATATGCATTTGCGGAGCAATAAAGGTAGAAGACTTGGCTCACATACTATTTAATTGTTGTTTGTATAAGAGGGTGAGAGACAGGTATCTTGGTTCATATATTAAATGAATGATCCACGGGGAACCCCATATTAAAACAACATATCTTATGTGTGGCCAGAATCTGAAAACAGCACTTAGTACAGCACAGTACTTGAGTGAAATGGTTCGGATAAAATTGGCTACGTGGGACTGATTGGGGTAGATTGTAGAGGTAACACTGAAATATAATTTTATCTTATTTTACTTGTCTATATATTAAATTATTGTATTTTACTCCAATTGTTTTTATTAATATTATATGTTTGGAACTCTGTATCTTGATCTGGCCTATGGGCTAATCAATAAACTAAACTATTAACTAAGCTAAACAAGTGCTCAAAGAGATCTTCTAAACAATAAAATAGAAATTTTGTAATAGAAACTTTGATTTGAAACATAAGATTACCGAGAACAAGAGTATTGGATGTCTTATGTATACCATACTATAGCAGTAATATATAGTAGAATAGAAATATTTATTTATATGCCACCTTTATTATTTTTTATAAATAACTCTAGGTGGCAAATGTATCCAACAGACCATCTTCCACTATTTTTCTCACAAACAACAATCCTGTGAGGTGAGATGGGCTGAGAGAGAGAGAGTAACTGTCCAAGTAACTGTCCAGCTGGTTTTCATGGCTAAGGCGGGACTAGAACTCGCAGTCCCTGGCTTCCTAGCCTGGTGCCTTAAGCACTAGACCAAACTTAGTTTGCTTTTATTGCTTGTAATATTGCTTATAATTAATGGGCACAGAGCAACACCAGGGGAGATCTATTCTGCTTCATACTGTTCCTTTTATTTCATAAATTAGTAATGTTTAATTTGTACCTATATTTTGTCTGACATAAAACAAGTAAGCGACTGAGATTTAATGTGCCTAAAAATAAGTAAACCAGTTGTATAAACTGAACTTGAATGCATCCAATGGGGGAAGTTTGGTGTACATTTCTGGGACTTAGCAAACAGCTAGAAAAGACAAAAGGTGGCTTTCCTTTGTTTTTCCCTCTGATCCTATTTTCATATTTGCAGCAAACGTATTCAGAGGGATAAGAACTTGAGCATTGGACGGAAGAAATTTAATATGGATCCTGATAAGGTAGAAACAAGTCTGTATTGAGATTTAATTTAAGATTTAAAGCTTTCATGTTTCAAAAAGCTAATTTCTGGAAGGAAGGAAGGAAGGAAGGAAGGAAGGAAGGAAGGGAGGGAGGGAGGGAGGGAGGGAGGGAGGGAGGGAGGGAGGAAGGAAGGAAGGAAGGAAGGAAGGAAGGAAGGAAGGAAGGAAGGAAGGAAGGAAGGAAAGAAGGAATTACTCTTGTACCTACCATGTCTCAAAGCCAATCCATATCTTAGGAGCCAGCCCAAATAGCAGCTGAAACAGAGGTGGTGGTACTTGGGCTGGGTGGCATAACCCACACCCAGTTATCTATTGTTTACCCTGGTTTTGAATATTATGGCTTTAATGGTCTTTGAGAAAAGCACTAAAGCTTTTATTTGTTTTGAATTGGATTTAGTGTATTAAACCCATGTCAAAAAGATCCCCATTATCAGATAATAGTTGGCTCCTGTTGAACTCAGATATGCAAAATATTTGCTCAAAGTCAGAGTGAATTTTGACTAAAGATTACTAAATATGCCAGACCAGCCATTGGTAAAAATTCAACTCTCCCTAATCCCTATGCCCCAATAAGGAGTGTAATTGATAGCTATTTTCAGTCAGATAATGATGAGAGGAGGGAAAACAAAGTTGAGGAAATTATCCAAAGCCCTTTCTGAACATGCCCCATGGATAATAAATAAGGAGGACATCACTTGGCAGCATTGTGCCAATAGAAGAATAGGGAATTGATGGATCCAGCAACTTTAATGCCAATAAAGTTTTTCACTGGCTCAAAGATTGGCTGATAGCACTTTAACACAGCCATGGAGAAAGGCTCTTAGTTGCTTTTATAAAAAAAATAAACCACACACACAGACAGACATTATTAGCTAAGCCAAATTTTTATATACTACATGAAAAAGAGAATGGAAGAAATTAGAAAACTTGAATGAAAGTTTTCAAAGCCAAGTAATGAGACCACTATGAAATTATAAGAAATGAAATAACTCATATGATGAAAGACAGGTCCAGCTCTGAGAAATCTAAATCCTCTTTCTAATGAATAACCAGAAAGCACCCTCTTTCTAATGAAAAATGCTATGAATACACAAAATATTCTGCTCCTTTCCGACATCCGCTTCCTTATGAATAAAGAGTGCATTGGTATTTCTCCAATCGTCTTTCTCTTCTTTGGAATTGATAGCATATACTTTAAAAGGAAAAATCACAATTACTAATTAGCAGTTGTGTTAACTACAGCTAATTTCATTCTGAACCTCTTATACATCCCCATGTTTTGGTTTCACCATATTTCTTTCTATTTGTCACAACCAGGTACTTGCCTACATAAAGATGGAACTGAAATTGTCTTTATCCTTATCTTTCTTTTCTAGATGTAATTATTTCTGTGCTTTCCACTAACTGTAACCCATTGTGAATTGCACTTAGTGCTACACTATATCTTTCTGATACTCTCAATGTAATTACTTCCTTTTACTAACAACACTACAGTCAAAAGTGACCACTCAATCATTAAATGGTAGTTAGAACCTTAATAGAAAAGCAGCTACCTACATTACTACAATGGGGTAAAGGTGTGTTGAATATGAACAAGGACTTTAAGAAAAAAACACAGAGGACAATTTGATAGGATGATTGATTTCCATTGTGTTTTAAGCTCACTTTATTAGTTGCATTATTATTTCTGATCAATTTGTACGTTATTAAAGAACATACACATGCAAAACTAGTTCAACTAGAGAATATATCCAGTCCTATTTAAAATCCATCTCCTTCAAATAAGAATATGTGTGTAAACACTAAACCGTCAACACTGAGAACCATTTCCCACTTACCTTCACATTGAGGAGTGCTATTGTAAACACAGCTGCAAGTTAAACACATTGAAAAATAAAATAAGGACCTGGTGGAACAAAATATCTTCACTTAATTGATGCAATTAATTAAGGAAGTTACATATGCGTGAAGGAGAACCCTATGGTTATGATGTCACCAGAGAGAAATCTCTTGTTAAAAAATCAGTTCTGATTTCCTACAATAACAGGGCCTAAAGCAGAGCTCCAGAATCCAGTTATATTTTGCTTACTAGGAACATATGGCCCAACTGTTGTAGCGGAATTTTGAGAAAAAAAAATGTTGGAAATCTTAAAATACATAGAGCAGAAGAAATTATTAACCAGTTATACAACCTATTACCTCTTTCTTTAGGCAACTGAATATTCCTGAGGCTTGCAATAAGGGATAATTCATGGTTTAAAAGAGATTCGGGTCATAGAACAAAGAACATAGAACAGTGATGGTGAACCTTTTAGAGACTGAGTGCCCAAACTGCAACCCAAAACCCACTTATGCATCATCGAGTGCCGGGTGGGTGTGGCCCATTGGCTGGGTGTGGCCAATTGGGTGGGCATGGCCAATTGGTGGGCGTGGCTGCGGTGGTAATGGCAGACTGGGTGGGACTAAAAAGTTCAATCAATCAATTCCAACTTCGCAAAATCTTTTTTTTTTTCCGTGAGAAGTTGAAATTGACTGATTGAACCTTTTTTTTTGCACACGGCAGTAGAGGCCTAAAGCAAAAGGGTTTTATAAAACCCAGCTGAAGGCAATGGCACGCGTGTCCACAGAGAGGGGGCTGAGTGCCATCTCTGGCACCCGTGCCATAGGTTCACCACCACTGACATAGAATAACAGGGTTGGAAAGGACCTTGGAGGTCTTCTAGTCCAACCTCCTGCTTGATTAGGAGACCTCCCATTGGTCCAGACAAATGGTTGTCCAATCTCTTCTTGAAAACCTCAAGTGATGGAACATCTACAACTTCTAATCACTCTTCTCTGTGACAGCCCCTCAGTACTGGAAGACAGCTATCATGTCACTCATAATATTTTTCTTTGATAGGCACTTATCTTTGCTACTCTTCTCTGCACTCTTTCTAGGGCCTCAGCATTTTTTTGTATTATGGTGACCAGAACTGGAACTAGTTAAGCTAAGTTGATCACATATAACAATAACCATCACTCATTTTTATAGCCCCTTATTTTACATATTCTTGTTTGTTTCTTGGAAACAACAGTCCATTCACAGTTAACTCATAGGGATCCTCTATTTTCCTCAACAGGGTATTCAATATCTGGTTGAGCACAAGGTACTCTCCTTGGATGCACAAGAAGTTGCCAAATTTCTTTACCAGGGAGAAGGACTCAATAAAACAGCCATAGGAGATTACCTGGGGCAAAGGTAAGTCCATTGTCAGTGAATAAACACACTTATGTTTCACTTCTAGCCTTCAGGCCACAGGGGAAAATATGTTTGGGGGAGGAAAAAAAATCCACGTCTCTCACCTTAATTTTCTTCTCCTTCCAGGGATCCACTGAATCTCCAGATACTGCAGGCTTTTGTAGAATGCCACCAGTTTGCCAATCTCAATCTTGTGCAAGCACTACGGTGAGTTTCAAAACATGCAAAGTAACTCAAATGTTGAGACTAGGTATTAAGTGCTAAACTAATCAAGGAGAGAAGCAAGGAGAAATGTTGTAACAGTGAGAACAATTAACCAGTGGAACAGTTTACTTTCAGAGGTTGTGGGTGCTCCATCACTGAAGGCTTTTAAGAAGAGTCTGGACAACCACTTGTTTAGAATAGAATAGGATCTCTTGCTTGAGTAAAGGGTTGGACTAGAAGACCTCCAAGGTCCCTTCTATTATTCTATGGCTCTCTTTTGATCTTCATGCCCATTTTTCTTCTCTAGAAGGGAACCAACTGAGATGCTGTGAATGTGAAGCAAATGGGTAAATTCTCTCAGGCACTTAAGCAGTTTCTGTTCCACTTCTATGTACATAATATTATATCTAGATAAATTCCAGCCTTGTTGTGCAAAACCAGTAAAGATTGGAGACTCTGCCACTGTGAAAAATGACTCTAAATTTGTGGCATGGAAGAGAAATCCATCCAATAGTAGAGCAGTTGGCACACAAGATGGTCACTGAGCTTGTACCATAACTTGAACCATAATGTAATCAAATGGCTCAAATTCACAAAATAAGAAACTAAGCCCCCAAAACTAACCCAGTTTTTAGTATACTGTGGAAACGTAGCATCTAGGCTCATAACTGAACTAGTTATGCAGCTTGGATGAACACAGCTGCTTTGTATGAAGTAAATCTTAGGTCACATGTGTGAAGCCACAATTATAACCTGGACTTCAGTTTATTGCAAAAAGAAAAGATTGTTGTCAGAATCCAATTATATTTCATCTTTAAATTATCAAATATAGAAACTCCCAATTCTGCCTTCTCTGGATTCTGCCATAAGAGGGAGAGAAGGGGGAGAGCAAAGGGGCTTTATGGCCCTCACTTCCTTCTTTACACTTCAAAGAGCTGAATGTGTGTTTATTGTAACCTCTAAGCGTTAACATATCAAAGAAGGGTAATTGCCTTTCATGTAGTATCTGAAGTCTCCATCCAGACGGAAGAAAGAAGAAAGGAGGTGGAATTGTGATACTTGAAACTATCACTGGAAGGGGGGTTGATTGGGTGGGACTACTGGGGAACCCCTTAAAACCTTGAATGGGAGAGCTTGAACCCCAAGTCCTGTCTAGCATGCCTGCAACCATTTTCTCTTAATAAAGGATTCCTGTTGGAAGAATTATTCCAAGAGTTCTGTCTTCTTAAGATGCAAAGTGGGGTGGGTCCTTACATTAGACAGGACTTGCAAAATTAATCCACCTGGAAGGAAGACCCTTGCCGGGGGATTTTGCAAAAATTTACCATGTCAGACAATGGAGCAAGAGAGGGGGAAAACTCCCTGGAAAGAGAGCCGCTGACCCAGTTGGAACCTTGCCAGATGTTGGGATCCGAGAGGCCAGATTCCTCAGGAGAAGAAGTGGTGGAGACACAGGACCACAAGCCTCGCTGGTCGATGGGCGTTGGAAAGAAAAGTGAGTGGGGAAAGGAATCAAGAAAGGTGACCCTGAGAAGGGGGACCAAGCAACCAGAATGGAAGCAGGAGATGGAGAAATCCCTGCACGCAAGTGAAAAGGGAGGAAGCTGGGCACCGTACTCAGACTGGATCCTAGAGAAAGCTATTGACCTGATGAAGAGAACTCTCAGCTCCCTAAGAGAGGAGAATACTGAACCCTACGGCCGCCCCAGTTCCTGGAGCCGCAAAGGGAGAGACACCGAGGGGGACATGGAACCTGCAACCCCAGGGACATCTACTGATCCAGGAGCTCCCACCCCCTACCGGACCACAGATGGCAATCTGGACGGAAGGCACTACCACCCACAACAGAGGCACCGATCCATTCCAAGACGTCCACCGTTGGAAGTGAAATTCAAAGGGGAGCCAACACGCTTGGGGTTTTTTCTAACCCAAGTCCTCAGCTACATGGAGGAATATGGGCAGGATATTCCCAGCGACAAAGCCCGCATCCGGATCGTGCAATCTGCCCTGGATGGACCAGCTGCGGATTGGGTAGTGAACTTGCATGACTCCAATGCCCCAGAACTCAGTAACTTCAACCGTTTCATGTCCTCTTTGAGAAGACGATTTGAAGACCCCCTGGCTGATCGCAAAGCCCGTGAAAGAATAACAACGATGAGGCAGGGCAAACGCCCAGTGGCTGAGTATACCCAAGAATTCCGGGCCATTGCCAGCAAACTGAATTGGCCAGAAGACATCCTCCTTGGCCATTTCAAAGACGGACTAAACTATGATCTATATGATGCTTGCCTGCCCCGAGGGGACCCACATCGACTTGAGGAATGGTACGTCTTGGCAGAGGAAGCAGAGATCGACATATTGAAGAGGCACCGCCGAGGAAAACAATGGAGCCGCCCCCCGCCTGAGCTGACACACCAACCGGTGAAATCATTGGATACAGCCAAGAAGCAAATGGGATGTTTCAAGTGCGGAAGAGAAGGGCATCGAGCTGTAGAATGCCGCTCAAAGGCCCCCCAGCACAACCCAGACAGATCCCCAATCAACAAACCCGGAAAGTATTCAGCTAAGCCAAAAGAAACGGCCATGAGAATGATGGAAATTGCAGAAACCCCCACCTCTGCTCACCAAGGGGAAAGGACTCCAGCCTACACCACAGGGCCGGTGGATGCCTCAGATGACAGCTCGGAGGGCGAACCCCTGGTAAGTGGATGCATCACACCCATCTTCAAAACAGTGACTATATTAATCCCCCCCATGCCCGAAGCTGTGAAGGTGAAAGCCTTAATAGACTCTGGCTGTACCCGCTGCCTCATTAGCCCAACACTAGTGGGGAATCTGGGCATCCCATCCAGGAGACTGGAACAACCAATCTCATTTGGCCAGCTAGATGGATCCATAGCAGGGGGGGTGCCAGCTACCCTAGCCACTCTGCCAATACACCTCTCCCTGGGCAACCATGAAGAGGACTTAACGTTTGTGGTGACCCCAGGTATGGAATGCCCAATGATTCTAGGGATGGAATGGTTGAAAAAATGGAACCCCTGGGTAAATTGGAGGACGACAGAAATCAAATTCCCGAAGGGGGACCCTATGGACTTAAAACCCCAAGGGAGGCTACCAGAATCAAGAATAGAAAAAGCATCCATAGGAGAGGAAAAAAGATTAACAGAAATACCAGAGGAATATAGAGACCTTGCTGAAGTCTTCAGTGAGGAGAGGGCGAATGAGCTTCCCCCCCACCGACCCACAGACTGTACCATTGAATTCAAGCCTGGGGCAAAACTCCCGAAGCCCAGATTATACTCCATGAGCCCAAAGGAGAAGGAGGAAATGGAAAGATTTTAAAAAAAACTGGAGAGAGGTTTCATTTGAGCCAGCCAAGCCTAAAGTGGCTGCCCCGGTCCTTTTTAGAGAGAAGAAGGATGGCTCTTTACGTTATCGCGTGGGATTATAGGGCCCTGAATACAATCAGTGAAAGCAACCTAGACCCGCTGCCCCTCATGAAAGACATGCTGTCACACCTATCGAAAGGGAAAATTTTTCTAAACTAGACTTAAGGGAAGCTTACTATCGAGTGAGAATCAAGGAAGGGGACGAATGGAAGACTGCATTTAACTGCCCCATGGGTTGCTATCAATTCAAAGTCTTGCCATTTGGATTACAAGGGGGCCCTGCAGTCTTTATGCAACTAATCAATGACGTTCTAAGGGAGCACCTGTTTAAGGGGGTCCTTGTTGACTTGGACGACATTCTTATCTTTACCGAAACAAAAGAAGAACACGTCAAACTTGTCAGAGCGGTTTTAAAGAAGCTGCGAGCCGCTCACCTATATGCCAAACTCTCAAAATGCGAATTCCACCAGGAAAGGATAGACTACCTAGGCTATCGCATATCCCCACAGGGCATTGAAATGGACACAGAGAAGGTCAGAGCAGTATTAGAATGGGCACCACCCCGCACAAGAAAGCAACTACAAAGTTTCCTGGGCTTTGCAAATTTTTACCGCCAATTCATCCCCTCATTTGCACAGATAGCCTTGCCCCTCACTAACTTACTAAAAACGAAGGGAACATCCTCAGTAAAACCTAGCCAGCCACTAACATGGACAATGGAGTGCCAAGCAGCATTTGAGAGACTAAAGAGACTTTTTTCTGCCGAACCAATACTAAGGCACCCAGAAATGGACAAGCCCTTCGTAATACAGGCAGATGCAAGTGATGTGGCAGTGGGGGCTGTGCTATTACAAGAAAATGATGATGCAGTATTGCAACCCTGTGGCATATACATCAAAGAAACTCATGGAAACAGAACAGCGCTGGCCCGTATGGGAAAAGAAGGCATATCGAATACGTTGGGCAGTACTCACATTACAACAGTTCCTGGAAGGCAACAAAATCCCCTTCCAGGTGTGGACTGATCACAAAAATTTGGAAGCCCTGAAAACGTCCAGGAAACTCAATCCCAAACAAGCCCGCTGGTCCAGCATTTTCACCAGTTCCAATTTAAGCTCAAACATTTACCAGGAAGAAAGAACTTCCTGGCAGATGCACTATCCTGCATGCCCAATAATAACAGACGCACGAACCATAGGACTTAGAACAATAATGGCAGAGTCACAACTGGCAGCACCAGTAAACCACAAGAACCCAAGCCAACATTAAAACCACAAATCGGACAGCCAAACTGGAATTGAATTCAGAAAAAGTTTGGAAACAGATGATTGGTTCCAGAAAAAAAAAAATGTGTGCACAATGAAAGACGGGTTGCCTTGGATAGGGGAAAAGTTATATATACCAACAACTCAAAGAGTAACTTTCATGCACCTTTGCCATGACACAAAATCAGCAGGGCATTTTGGATTGGTAAAAACTTTACATTTAATTAAACGGCAATTTTGGTGGCCATCCATGAAAAAGGACATTGAAAGTTATATAGCCAGTTGTCCAAAATGTGCCACGGCAAAGAGGTTGCAAGGGAAAGTGCCAGGACTATTGCAAACAGTGGCAA